TGCTTTTCATGTTTTAATCGACAACAGGATACACGGAATTGGTCAAAATAATTAGTCAACGGAAAGCATCTGCTGGAAAATAGTCATGGGCATAAGGGGACCCAACGTGGCTTGTTCGGGTGAGGGGCGAGGCGATTTTGGCAATTTTTCCTCTCCCCCTGCCCCCTGCCTTCGCTGATCGGCCCAAAACTGCGGCGAAGATTAGGGGCAGAAGGGAGCTGGGGAAGGGAGGGGGGACAAGAGCGAGGCGGCTGGGGGTATCGAAGACAGTTTTCTACAAGTTTTCTACAGTAAAACAGCTCCTATAAGCGCTGCCGGGGGAGTGAGATCCACCAATGGTCATTGGTCATATCGCCTGAGAAGTGCATGAGAATTAATCTGAATGCAACTTATCATCAAAGCATGCTGTACATGAAACTAACAGTTGCCTGTAGAAACGGACCAAAAATTGGAATGAAGATTGGTATTCCCGCATCTGTGTGCTTGAAAACCCTTAGATGAATCTAAAATTTTCTACAAAATGTAAAAAAGTGTGAAAATGTTAGAACAAAAGTAATACTGAGCAATACGATTGGGGTGGCTGGGAGAGCGGCTACTGGTGATGCACGGTCTGAAGGAGCTTCGATGCCCAAGTATGAATTATGCGTGTGTGAGGCGGCTGACAATCGTCTATCATTGTTGATTCGATTCCCACTTGTTAGATTGAGCAGTTGTCGACAGGAAAGAGGCAATTGATCCGTAATGCCGAGGTGATTGTACAGCTGTTCAAAACTGTAATATCATTTCTTATTTTTGTGTTTGATAAGAGTGCACCGAAAGAACAGTGTATTCGAAAAAAAAAAATTTTGTGATAAATTTTTATGACACTGATCTTTGTGTTTTCAACACGCTTTTCACTGCTCAAAATTGGCGTACTGTAACGATGGTTTCTCGAGAGAAGCCCTTCTCCTTCCTCTCCACTATCTCCACATTTTTTCTCTGTCACCTTTCTTTATTCTAATCTTATGAAATTTGACACATACTCATCATGCACATGATAGCTAGGAGGCTGTACTGATGATTCCTACTCCTTTTCACATGCCGTGTTCGACCCGTGCTTACAACTAAAAGACGAAACAACAGATTGCATCCAAATATGTTTTCTGACACATGATACTTTGGATTATACCATATTTTCAATCTTGCTATTCCCCTCTCCCCTCCCTCACCCTCCCTCTCCTTCCGCTGTGATTACTAGGACTGTCCAAATATCACTCGGATGCACTCATTCGCTGGCCGTAACTTCGTTATGGTATTCTTATTTATCGCTTGGCTGATATATGCGTATCATCAGTTCGAGATAGCTTAATTGGTCATTTATTTTATGAAAGGTAGCACTCATTGGTCGAGCAATGTCCGCTGGTTGTCAGTACTACAAGCAACATGCACTGTCCATCGGATTGTACCTTTACGCTTGTTCAAATTGGAACTTTGAACTCCATTTTTGTTATGCGTTTGCTGCGCAGCGCTATAGCAACACTAATGCTATAGCGCTGCTACAGCCAGCACAAACGCATACTGTCGAGAGGCTGTCTGCGGGTGTGTGTGTTCGGAAAGCGAGTGCATTTTGTCACCCACTTTCATCTCAGCAGCCAGGAAAGCTGGGAGGCTGAAACTCTGGATATTTGTTCCTACCCCGTGTGTCATCCTCCCTTTTTAAGATCTTTCCCCAAACGCGCCTAAACCCCGCGTACGGGACCCCCAAAAAATTTGTTGGCGGGAAACGATTTCGCGAACCAGGCAACGTAGAAAGCTGAAACTTTGCAGGGATATTCTCAAAAATCGTTTCGCGAACCAGGCAACGTAGAAGGCTGAAACTTTGCAGGGATATTCTGTATGACCCACGAGACACAAAGTTTTAAACTCAGCCCTCTAGCTCCCCAACCACAGCCGCAAGAGCTCCTGAACCCAAAAATCGCAGCCAACCAGGCAACGTAGAAGGCTGAAACTTTGCAGGGATATTCTCTATGCACGTACGAGACAAAGGTTACTCAGCCCTCTAGCTCCCAACCACAGCCTCAGGCAGCTCCTGAACCCAAAAATCGTTAGCAACTCGGACTCAGCCCTCTAGCTCCCAACCACAGCCTCAAGCAGCTCCTGAACTCAAAAATCGTTAGCAACTCGGACCGGCAACGTAAAAAGCTGAAACTTTGCAGGGATATTCTCTATGCACGTGCGAGATAAAAATTTTAAACTCAGCTCTCCGGCTGAAACTTTGCAGGGATATTCTCTATGCACGTACGAGATAAAGGTTTTAAACTCAGCCCTCTAAAACCATAGCCTCAAGCAGCTCCAGAACCCAAAAATCGTTAGCAACTCGGACCTGAACCGCCAATTGTACTAGTCTCAAGTAGCTCCTGAACCCAAAAATCGTTAGCAACTTGGACCTGAACCGCAATTGTATATGCAAATAAACATGGATTCTTTGAAAAACCACGGTTCGAGCAATACTTTCAATTGTTCAATGAATTGAAAATTTGCATATTTCAGAAAATTCGTTCGCAGCTCGGACCTTAACCGCAATCGTATATGTAAATGAACGTGCATTTTTTGACGAACGACCGCTCGAGCAGTACTTCCACTTTTTATTGAGCTGGAAATTTGCATTTTTTCAAAAAATTTTTTTGTCATTTTTTCACAAAGCGAGCATTTACCGAAAAAACGGCCAGACTTCGTGCAAAATACCGATAATAATGCACCTGGATGTCCATGCGGCTCTATAATGCACCACCTTCATCCCAACTGATGCCCTTCTTCCTGCATGCCAGAAAGGATCAAAGCATGGCCAATATAAGCCCAAATGTTAGGCTACAGTGTAGGATTATTCCTGCTAATAGCGGTCTGCGAGTTTATTACAAAAACGCATGATCGCACCGGAGAGCCTGGTGCGTTCCAGCCTGGGTTTAATTTCCTTTTCAGTCTTTATAGCAATTGGGATCAGATTAACTTGCCTTGTGAAGCCGACGGTAATGAACTTGAGCATCATCTGAGCAGCCTGTTCGCCACATCCATTTCTTGTTACTGGCTCAATACATCGAATCATATCGGCCAGATCTCTGCAAAAAAAAAAAAAAAAAAACGGTTGAGTAAAAATCGAAAATTTTATTCTGCTTTTGCGTGTTCGATAATTTTACTGCTTTCTAATTCTAGCATTTCAGTGTGTTTAACTTACCTGCAGCATTTGTCAGTCGGGAAATGAAGAGTTTTTTGATTAAAATTCAGGCTGAATTTTGCGCTCCACCGATCGTTTTCTCCCTCCCCTCCCCTCGCTTGTTTCAGGTTTTTGCTTCTTTTCTCCACTTAAACTGTTTTGAAGCTGTCTTCAACATGCAGATGGAAGTATGATCAATTTTTCTGCCTTCATCCTTTTTTTGCCTTTACGAATGTAGATATCCCGTAAGCGGCGACCAGTTGAGCTTCTTCGGAAGAGCTGGCGCATATTCATCGAACAGTTAGTGGACATGGAAATGGCGACCACTTGAGCTTCTTCCGAAAAGCTGGCCCTTATATATTAATCAGTTACTGAATACCAGTTAAACACAGCACATGGTAGAGGAAGTTGATCTAGTTATTCCTGGCGTTTAAGAAGCTGAAGAAGGAGATCCCTATTCTGCATATCCCATTGCTTCTTGGTTAAACGAGTACCGTTTGCAGTGCATAATTCAACGTCTACGCCTAGCATGGCAGAGCGTCTTGCCAGGAATTATCCGAATGCGAAATTCGTCGCTTTTTTTAAAATGCATGTGGGGAGCTGTTTTCGG